GCTCTGTGCTTTGAATACTTAGACTACTGAGTGTAACTAATTCTCCCACACAAGGATATTGTCTTCTCTCTATCTCTGCTTTTGTCCTTCCCTTTCAAGCCGGCTATTCATTGATTTCATTAGTTGCTGGTGTGGTGAGAGAGAGATGGTGAAAGGATGGGGGGGGGGGGCTTTCCAATTAAAAGGCCTAATAGCCTATTACCATCACCTTAAGTTCAACTCATTTTTTTTTACAACATGAAACCTGCGAAACATTAATCACCAGAGCAGCATGAGAGCTTTTAAAAGCCACTCTGTGATTATTGAACTGTTATTAGGACTGATGATTCCGAGCTTCTATAGTTGGTTTGCTGTTACATGAGTGCAACATGTAGAAGTATTCAAACTGAGGAGAATAAAGACTGCAAGTGACGAAGCGGTTCTACTTTGACAAAATGTTTTTGAGTGAGCATCAGGTTTAGCATTAAGGACAACACAAGTAAAGTCTGCTGCTCCTGGGTTTAAATGAAATGTGTTTAACAGGCTACTCTTCCTACACACATGCTGCACAGATCTCGCAGCTGACCAGGGGGCCAGAGGACGAAGCCGGTCCCCTGGGATCACCCAACCACCCTTTCTCAGACACCCATTTGTCCCATCCCACCCCCCCTCTCCTCCCTCCCGATGGATGACCCCCACAACCAGCAGGGGTCAGCTGCGCAGAAGGCGGCCTCCTGCACCCAGGCCCTCGGTCCGGAGCCGCACAGCGTAAATCAGAGGCTGTTCATCGCGGGAACCCTGCCCTGCCAGGGGTCCCAGCCCAGCCTGGCACCATCTGTCCCCGGGCTGTGACGCAGAAGCGGCGCAACCAAGGTGGGTTCCCACTGACTCCCTGTACCCTACAGGTCATGTGTGCCAGACCTGGGAGACAGATCCATCACCACTGGAGTCTGGACATGATAGAAGGGCCCAGTGGATCAACAATTCAGTAGTTCAGCTGTGTGTGTGTGTGTGTGAACATTAGCTTACACTGGACAAATTAAGATGAATGAGGACAAATTCATAAGAATTAGTTATAATGAAATGCAATCGATCAGATTTAATTTAAATATATATAGAGGAGTCATGACCTCTGCTACTAAAAGAACCCCTTCCCATTACACAGGAACACATATAAATATTAACGGACTCCAGCTTTATCGTCTGCTCACAAAAACATCAGGTACAGGTGAATCACTACTACAGTATTCTAAGCAGGTACATCAAGTACTTGGGACACAAGTCGAGGACTTTTCAATTACAACTGGAGTTGAGGGAGAAAAGCAGTAACAGTGGGATACAGATTACCATCATTTCAGAAAGTCTTCGAACTAGTGACCATGTTTAGTTTTTAGAACAGAGTCCTCTCAGGATTTCCCTTTAAGGGTCAAAAGAAATCTTCTGATCAGACCTCAGTTGCACAGCTGTAGGCTACTGCTCAGATTCCCACTTTTCTTGCTTGTTGAGTGATCCACTTTGCATCAGCAGCACCTATTTAAGTGAGAGCAAATTGACTTCTTAGGGAATGTGAAAGTGGAAAAAAAAACGCAACCCATTGCGTTTGTACCTGTGGTAAAAATAAGTCATCATATTTTATGTTGACTTCACAGACTGTTATTTTGCTGCATACCTGCCACGGATCAAATAGGTGATGACCTACTCACACATGTAAAACAGTCCAACCTTTTAAGTGCAAGACAAGTCGCTGCACTCCACCTTATCACCCTTGACGACTTGACGTCTTTTCCCTCTCCATCATAACGGCACCTGGAATTGTGACATGTAAATCTTATCGGCAGAGACAGTCTGCGGGTCCCCGGGCAGTGCAGCCCGGCTTATTGCTTTCTCCCCCAGCCGCGGCCTTGCTTCCAGCCCCCTCAGGCCTGGTTCTAATGGGCGAGCGCGGGGTCATAAAGTGGTTGCGTTAGTGTTTTCCTTTTTCCAAACCAGTGACACCAGTTGTTCACCCCCCTCACCAGAGCCTTTTGTGAGACCTGACAACCTGTCAATTCCAGGCGGAGGATAATTGTAGAAGACGACATGCATTACCTTGAGGTGACACCACATTCCTCTGAAGGCCTGTCTTTATGAGCCAACAATAACTTGGAATAGCTCTGCAGCAAAGCATTAAAAATTAGCTTTGGCTCTGGAGCACGTCTGGTGCCGTCTCTTTCTTGTATTGAATCAAATCTAAACAAATATCTTTAAAAATATCTGGAGGAAACTCATCTCGCAGGTCGATGATAATCAGGGTAAATGACTATTGTTGATTTAGACTCCCACTAATCTTTTTTTTTTGACGTATAATTTTCTGTCTTATCGCCCTTTCTGGCTCAAGGAGGATTTTCGGCCGTCATCAGGGTTGATGAAAGGACAAGAAGACCTTCACAGTGACATATACAACCCCCATGACAAAAATAAATGCCCACACACACAAACATTTAAGAGTTGGTCATTCTGAGAACAAGAAGTTCTAATTAGAAGCAGGCATCATTTCTGAGAAGCAAAAAGATGTGTTTTTCGCATTACATGCAAAGAGTTTTGTGAACCACAGGATTACTAGTTTGAATTTATATTAACATATTGGGAGGTTTCATTTCTATAAAGTTTGTTCATACATGTTATTTAATCAGTAATTTGTGTTTCAGTCTGACTACATGTTCAACCCTATGGAGAAAATTGATGTTCAACAAAGAATAATAATGAAGACATCTTGTTTTCATCAGCCCTCTCACCCAGTTAAATTCATATCATTTGTGCACATACCGCCCTCCTGTGTTGAGTCAGTGGTACTGACATTTTCCACTTGCATAGGTGTCTCATGTTATAATTAACAATAAAAGAAATCTTACCACAACCTTTGGCAAAACTTTGCTACTAATAAAAAGCTTTAAATATTCCCATGGTCCTTGAAGAATCATTTAAACAATCAACAACTATCTTATCAAGTGAAAACACTTACATATACATATCTGGCATGGTTGAATAATTTTATTACAACCTTCAAATCACAAATAGCAGAAATGTATTCACAGTTTTCAGAGGATTCTTGTTCTTGTAAGAATGAGGAAATCTCATTGACCTTCGCCCACTGACGTTTGGTTTGTGATAATAAACAAAGAGTTTTTTACTGACACAAGATCTAAATGTCAGTACTGTTTAGGCAATAGGCTCGTCCCTGTCAGTAACATTAGCCTTAAACTCATAAAAGATGTTTAGTGTAAGCATTGCAAGGGCAAGTTGCATTATTGTCATGCTATTTAATTTCAGTGTTTGTTTTTTTGCAATGAAATATGTGACTACCATTAAGTCAAGAGAGGTAACTACTAATCTATGAACCCGTCACAGCGTTCACCTGCATTCTTCACAATGCAGTGCAGCACTGCCTCATTGTCCAACACATCATTCTCGTCCAGCCTTCAACTTCTCCTCCACCGTGTGATCTCCCCTCGATCCCCCCATGCAGGGCGGACTCTTTGCCAGGGTGGGGTTACTTCCCCACTGCTCAGGAGTCTTTGCCTGTATAGCCAGTGCATGAACACAGCTACTCAACTCCTCCTTCAGGGCCTCGTTAACCATACGGTGGCGCTTTATCAGTGGAAGACCATCGAACTGGGAGCTAACAACCAGGACACGGAAGTGGGATTCAGAGCCGGGAGGAACGGCGTGCATGTGGCTTTCATTGTGGACTTCTAAGTGGTCCAGCTTTATTGCGTTGGTCAGTTTGGTTCTGATAGACCTCTCAACGGGCCGGCTTGGGTCCGGGTCCATGTGTGGTCTGAAGTGGGCCAGAGGCCGGTTTAAGGCGAGACTGGTGGAGGCAGAGCGAACACAGCGGAGGACACTGGGCAGCATGAAGAGGATGTGGCTAGAGACCACCTGAGAGAAGGAAGATGGGAATAAGTACTGAGGTCGACCAATGAGTATTTGAGGGTCGATAACAATATTAAGGAGTAAAACATTTTATATACCAGCAGATATGTATTATAAAACAATGCATTGGCACAGAGTCCTAAGATGTTGTTATCAAACCACTCTGAAAGAAGATATTTTACAGTTTAACCATAAAACTTTATTATGTTTAACTATAAATACATAGAAAACACAAAAATAAACATACAGAGCACAAATAAAGAAAACAAAGACAATTTCTTAACATTTATAATATATAATACAAATATAAATGCACATCATTTCTGCTTCGATTATTCCATAAAATACATCTTAGATTATCATCTATCTATCATTGACAACCCAATCTGGATTAAATACTGAAGTTATAAACTATATGAGTCCCAGGTATTGAACTTGGAGGAGTCGTTACCTGAGAGGCTGGACCCAACCTGCTGTTGGCTTCCTTCACTCCTCTTTCAAACCATCTGTCTTCCCTGGCCAAAATGTGGACATTGTTGTCTTCAAATGAAAGTCCCTTGTCCTTTAGATGTAGGTGGACTGCTGAGTCCTGACCTGAGGAGCTGGCTCTCATGTGCCATGCTCTTATGAAGGGGTCGTTAAGTTCCCCCATGTACAGGTCTGTGCACTCCTCACTACATTCAATGTACTTCATTGCTCTGCTTGTGTCCGGGTGTGTTGTCTTTGAGATGGACCAGTTTCTGCCTCAGTGTGTCGGCGGACTTGAAATGAACTGATATGTGGTGTTTGTTGAAACTCCTCTGCACATTTTATTCCTGCCTGTTTGCAGCTCATTTAGAAACGTGAACTACACACACACACACAGACATGTGCAATAACTATTCCCACACACTCCACACAGTTAAAAGTTCAAGCACCTTTCAATGTAAATAGACCAAGTTTTGTATTGTATTGCATTTGACGATTGTATAGAAACTCTTTTCACCTTGCTTTTATTTAACTATTGCACTGCAGAGCTGACCGGCTCCTTCTTGTTCTCATGATCCAGTGGGTGGTGTGAGTCAAACAGTGAATATCGATCTGTGTGTTTTCTACACATTCGTCGATATTCACTGCACAGACCTCCACCACCTCCACCTCCTCCACCACCTCCTCCTCCTCCAGAGAGAACCTGATGTTGTTTTGTGACCACGTGAGCTGGTGGTGATCAGAACCACCGAGCTCAGTCTGTGTCCACACACACACACACACACACACACACACACACACACACACACACACACACACACACGAGATTCCAAGATGAAACCTCGTGGTGGATGAGGTTTCATCTTGAAATCTCGTTTCTGTTACGCCAACATTCAAGCTAGGCTACAGCCAAGGGTCGTTCGCTAGCGTTAGCAGTTAGCTTTCCTTTACCAGAACATGGCTGACGTGAAAGCCAGCGGAGTCTTTACAGCTCGCAGCTCATTGGACCATTACACCGAGGTTCATGTTTGACTCTGCAGCTTTACAATAACTCGGAGAAACAAGTTCTTGTTAAAGAACGAAGTGATTTTAGATTCTCACCTGCGAGAGAGTCAGACGAGTCCGCGGACCGGATGCAGAACACTCACCGGAAGTGGAGAGGCCGGGATTTGTAGTTTTTTTAAACACTAAATTGTTGCAGCACGCGCTAAAGTATTTTAACTTTTTTATTATTGTTGATTGATTTCAGCTAAAAATGAGCAGTTAA